AGTCAGTAATTCCTCCACAAATAATTTGTTAATTTTGCCTAAAACTCATCATTTTTTCCACATCTGGATACAGATAGATGTCTGTGCTTTTCATCTGTTTGGTTTGAGTTCAGATCCTCTACGGCTCATGTGCTCACTTTTGAACAGCTGGAAGATTGGGGATGCTGATATCTTTATCTGGGTTTGTTATCAGAATAATGCTAGCTCCCCAGAATAAATTAGGAAGCAACTTCATTTCTTTTTATGGCTGAATGATTCTTCATTGTATGGATGTACCACACTTTGTGTATCCATAAGTTAACCGATTGAAATATGGGTTGCTTTCAAATTTCAGCAATCATGAATAATTTCACTATAAATACTCATGCATGAATTTTTATGTGGACATGTACTCTCATTTCTGATGAGTATATACCTAGGACTGGCATTACAAGGTCATATGGTAACTTGATGCTTAGCTATTTGAAGAACTGTCAAAGTATTTTTCCAAAGTGGCTTTATTGTTTGACATTCTCATCAGCAGTTTTTGAGGGTTCCAATTTCTACATATTGTGCCAGTTAATTTTGTCAACTTTCCTGGATTCAGAGACTCCTGGAGAGGTGACTGGATCATGGGGGTGCCATTTTCCTCAATGGACAAATCAATTCATGTTCATAACCGAATGTGGTGGGGTCCAATTGGAGGAGGTGGGTCACTAGGGCCTGCCTTGGGAGGGTCTATCTCTCACTGCCACCTTTCCTATGTTCTATGTCCTGGCTACCATGAAGCAATCAGCTTTGCTCCACCACTTCCTTCCACCATGACGTTCCTGCCTCGGAACCAGCTAAATATAAACTGAACCCCCCTGAAACTGTGAGCCAACTAAACAGCTCTTCCTTTAAGTTGCAGGCGTTAGGTATTTTGTCCCAGCAACAAGACCAGTATGGACATCATCACCAATACTTGTTATTATTTGCCTTTTTGGCTGTCACCATCCTAGTGGATGTGAAGTGCTATATCACTGTGGTTTTGATTTGCTTTTCCCTGATGGCTAATGATAGTAAGCATTTTCATGTGCTTATTGTCATTTTGTGGGACTGCATAACCTTTGTTCCTTTTTCTCCAGCCCCATTGTGATTAAAATGTGAGTTAATGGATGGAGATGCTTGTTAGTCTAGGGACACTAGATAGGGATCTGTAACAGACCTAGAGTCCCAGATAGTCTAGGGACACTAGATAGGGATCTGTAACAGACCTAGAGTCCCAGAGTAAACTACTCAACTCTTTGTTTACCCGGAATCGATATTCCAGGCACCACAACTGTTAGAACAAGCTGCAGATGTCTGCTGACCATCAATATGGGACCGTCGACCACTAACCTTTGTCCTCTTTTCTTTAATATGTTAACTTCCCCCTCAACCCCCTATAAAAACAGCCTCGGATTCTGAGCCAGTTGCCTCTCTAAGCTATTTTGCTTTGGGAGTGCCGTCTGGCCAGACTAATAAAAGTCTGTTTTCCAACTTGTCCGGTGTGTTCCTTCCCGGGTGTTCTTCGCTGTAGTCAGCTCCTTGGAGCGTTTGGTAAGGCTCTTGGTCTTACATTTTGAAGGCACCGCTGGGATCCCTGGGTGTGCTTCACTAGTCAGCTCCTCGGAGCGTTTGGTAAGGCTCTTGGTCTTGCATTCTGAAGGCACCGCTGGGATCCCTGGGTGTGCTTCACTAGTCAGCTCCTCGGAGCATTTGGTAAGGCTTTTGGTCTTACATTCTGAAGGCACCGCTGGGATTCCTGAATGTGCTTCACTAGTCAGCTCCTTGGAGCATTTGGTAAGACCCTCGGTCTTACAATTTGTGTATCTTCTTTGGAGAAATGTTTATTCAGATCCTTTCCCCATTTTTAAGTTGGGATTTTAAAATCACAATTGTTTAGTTGTGAGAGCTTTTTGTGTATTTTTGATACAGAATGTTGTCTTCAACAGGTTCATTGTTGCAACTATTTTCCAAGGTTTGTTCTCAGGCTTTCTGACTCTGCTTTGTGTCACACAATTTTGGAGAGATACTGGTGTTTAAGAGGTGTAAATTACCCTCCAGAGTTCCCACAGGTACCCTCCGGGTTTCTCTTGTGATCACCTCTTCAATCAGTCATCAGCATCTGAATCTTATCTCCAGCTCTACTTTTGGGGGAGCCTGACCTCAGAAAGACCTTGGAACGCCTGAGGAACTGAAAGGAAATCAGTGTTATTGGGACTCCTGGAGACTGGAGTGAGAATAAAGCTTGGGCAGAAGCCAGATACACAGGGCTTTGAGCATCAGAGTGAAGGTGGTCTTTTCCATCTGGAGAGCTTGGGGATACCACTGGGCAGTGTGAAGCAGGGGGATCCCAACTTAACATCTGCAAAGACCCCTGTAGTTTCTGTGTGGAAATGGTCAAAGCCTGATCAATGAGGCTCCAGGAAGACCGTCAAGGATGCTGCTCTGCAGAAGTTATCCGGGTGAGATGGGATGGAAGCTGGAATGAAGATGGGGTAAATGAAAATGGAGGCAGTAGAAGATTAGATATTGGGGGTGCTGTTGATCAACTCCAAGTCAGAGATGATAAGAACAACAGGACCTTTTTTAAAGACTTAGGAGGTGCAATTCTGGAGACACAAGTTTATATATATCTCTGAATCAGTATCCCAGGGAAAGTAAGAAGGGGGGCAACTTATGTGTGATTTATTACAAGGTAATGACAATTCTTTTGTGGGGAAGTTCCTGCTGGAGTTAAGAACAGGTGTAGGGCCCATATGACTGATAGAAAACAAAGAAAAGGATGTATATACAGAGAAAGTATGTATATGCAGGGTCCATAAAACACAGATCTGATGCCCTCTGCCATACACCCCGAGTCTCGGGGCACAGTGTGACAATCTGTCCTGGCAGCCTGTGGCCAGCATTACCCAGAGTTCACATTCCTGGCACAGCTGGAGTTGTGTGCTAGTTCTCCTTCCCTGCTGGCCTCCTGACTTTATTTTGAAAGGCTCCTTCAATGTTGTTTTCATTGTCATTTTTCCTTTGACTTTCCCTGTGGATTTATGGGCTCTGGGGGAGGTTCAAGGATAACTTGTGGCTTTCCATCCTGGAACCTGGATGGATGGTCAATGTGTGGAAAGGAGACAGGATTGAGAGGCAAATCAGGAGCTCTATGTCTCGAGGCTGGTCCAATCCACTTTCTGAAGGAAAAAAACAAGCCATTTTTTCCCTACTCTCTTCAATAGTCACGCAATACAGAACACTTCTGTATCTAAGACATCTGTGTGTCTTGGCGGGGGGGCGGGGGGGGGGTTCCCCGTACACCAAGCAATCCTTCAGTGGACACCAACCAGTTGTTTTATAATTCAAGTCAGTTTAACACGGTTTACCTGGAATTAGAGTCAGATCTCACAGGTTAAAGGCTCAATCCTGCAAGACAGTCCTCCATTTCAGATGGTCACAAGCCAGGGCTGTGACCTATGTTTCTGACCAACTGAATATAAATTGGGGTTCCCATTTCCCCCTCCTTGGGTTCAGCTAATATGCTGGAGCAGCTCATGGAACTCAAGGAAATGCTAATGTATACTGGCTTGTTTTAGAGGATGCTACAAAAGGTTCAGATGGATGGCCAGATGGAGGGGGTGCTACAGCCAGGCATGTGGGAAAGGAGCACAGAGTTTCCATGCCCTCCCTGAGCCCACTGGTCCCAGCATCTCCTGTGGTCAGCTCCTGGAAGTTCCCTGGACCCAGTCCTGTTGGCTTTTCTGTCAAGTTCATTATAGTCACGACCGAAGAAGCATTGGCCACTGGTAACCAATTCAACCCTCATTCCCTCCCCGCTCCTGAGAACTGAGGAGATGGAGCCAAGTTCCCACCTGCTAACCCTAACCCTGCCTCGGTCTTTCTGGTGAGCAGCCCCATCCTGAAGCTACTGGTCTCAAGACACTCTTCTCACTCTGGGAACTTCAAGGGTTTTAGGACCTGTGAGCCAGGAACCAGGGAGAAACCAAATATATGCTTCCTATTGTATCCCAATAACACTGCCCATTTCACAGCTGGGAAAATGAGACCCGAGTGAGTGCAGGGGTTCACCATCTGGAGCCCCCGAAATGGCCCGGGCCTTGGAGAATGGGACTCGAGGAGCCCTGCTGTCCAGCCAGAGCCACATTCCCCAGGGGCTTGTGAACTCCAGTGGAAAGAGGGTGGGGTTTCAGACAAGGCGGGCTTGGCCTGAGCTAAAGGCCAGTTCACAGCCTCTAGAGAACACAGAAGCTCTGTTTCATGAGGTCGGACTACGCCTGACCCCAGCCAGCTGTCCTGTCTGGGTCTGGAGTGGGTATCTAGCGGGCAGAAGGGTGTGGGGTGCCCCCTTAGGCAGACAACATGCTTGAGTGGAGATGCGCCTGCTCTCCTGGGGAACGTGGTACTGGTCAGGACTACATCCAGATCTGAGGTTTCCCCTGCCCAACCTTTTCCTGGCTGTTGGACCTTGGGTAAGTCATCTCCCCTCTCCAGCCCCAGTCTTCTCATCTGCAAAATGGGAACATCCCAGAGTATGACTTGCACGCCCCTCAGAGTTGAAGCAAATATCAGATGAGGAAATGGATGCTTTGTAAACAGCAGAGACTTCTCTGTGGACTCAGTCCTACCTCTGCCTCACATCGCAGCCCAGCAGACTTCTGGCTGCCAATCTGAGCCTGAAGAAGGGACCTGCATGGTGGGATGTTCCATCATGTCACTGGCAGTCTTGGGTTCCTTGTAAATTCCATCTTCTTATCAGCACAGGCTGTAAAGTTTGTGGTACAGTCCCAAGGAGGGCACAGTGGCCTAGACTTCCTCAGGCCGACCCCTTGGGGACTGAGGCTTTACTGTGGTCACTTTTGGGGAATTCCCATGAGTGAAGATGGCAGGTTTGAGCCAAGGCCATGAACAAGGCCCCTTTGGCCTTTGAGAGACAACGGAAGATTCAGAAAACAGATTAGGGAATTCACAATTCAATGTGTGAAAAGCTCTTTGGGAATCAGTAGAGGAGTTTATTGAGGGTCTCTGGAGAGATTTTTTCCTCACTTTTCCCACTAATGAAAGAAGAGCTGGCATGATTGTTGCCAAAATGTAATACTAGATACCATTTAATGAGCATTTGTTATGTTCCAGGCAACTTTCTGAGGGAAAGTTAACTTATTTACAACAAGTCTCTGAGATCTAATTGTTTGTATTTTATGCGGGAAAACCAAGGCTCAGAGATAGAAGAATTTCACTTGCCAAGGACACGTAGCTTATAAGTGATGGGGCCAGGGCAGGAACTGGGTCAATCTAGAGCCAGAGCCTGTGGCACTAACCATTCTGCAACACTGCCTCATGTACAAGAGGGCTAGATGTAAGTGCTGCCCAGAGGACCAAGCCCAGCCCAGCCAGTTCCCTTGAGCATGCAGCAGTGGTCGGGTACAGCAGGATTGCTGAGGGGACAAATCCATGGCCACTGAGACCCCAGAGTCAGCCCAGGCTTGCCGGAAAATGGTCCAAGGCGTTGTGTAAATCCAGCTCTGCTGTTCACTGTGACACTGGGCAAGCCATCTCCAAACAACTCCAAGTCCCAGTTTCTTCCTCAGGAAAATGAGGGAGAACTGGTATCAGCTTCATGGGGCTTTTGTGAAGCATCCAACAAGCCCTTAAAGACTTTAAGGGGCTTAGCACAGAGCTAGACACAATGAAAATAAAAATGTTGGCTGTTAATGTGACATTCAAATATCATTATTCACTATTATACTTCATTTCAGCATACCTGTGCTGCCTGTGGGTAGAGAGGTTGTTGGCATGTAGTTCTTTGTGGAGACAGAAGGATGCACAAGGTGACCTTTGGGACCCTTCCCACCCAAAGATTCTTATATCATTCATCTCTCCTTTAGACCCTTCCTCCCTCACAGCAGCTGTGCTCTCTCGGAAGTCAGTTTCCATCCTTGCGCCCCAGGTTTCCCAGCTCCCTGCCTGTGGTCTTCACTGGCTACATCCTGTTTCCATGGCAACAACATTTTAAGAGCCTTCGACCCCCCTCTGAGGCGACAGGCCTGGATGGAGATGGACTGATCAAATGCTTCGAGCCTCCCTGGGCCTGTCTGGATGTGCGGGGGAGGGAAAGCAAGCAGCAGAGCTGGTGTGGGGTGTATTTCCCCAAGGTGTCCGAACAACACCCTGTGATGGCTTCAATGTGTCCCCAAAGTTCACGCATTGGAAACTTTCTCCCCAGTGCAGCAGTGTTGAGGGGTGGGACCTTTACAAGGTGACAAGGTTATGAGGACTGTGAAGGGATTAATGCAGGCGTGGCCTCTTTATAAAGATGACCTCCCCCTTCGCTCTCCCACCATGTGACGCCCTCTGCTAGGTTATGAAACAGCAAACAGGCCCTTGACATATGTGGCCCCTCCACCTCAGACTTCCCATCCTCCAGAACTGTGAGCCAAATAAACTATTGTATACACATGTTCCAGGTCATGGTGTTCTGTGATCATGGCACCATATGGACTAAGATACCCCTCGCCTCATCGAGCAGCATGGGAAAGAACCAAGCAGGTAGCTCCAAACGCACCTCCAGGCACCCAGCCCTGAGCCTGAGTTCAGCTCTCTGGGGTGGGTTCCCACGGGAAGCTGCCTTGTCATCGTCTCCACTCGTGGTTCCGAAGCAGGTAGGATACAGCCCACTTGGAGAAATCTTGTGGCTAGCAGAAGATTCCCGAAACCATCTGGGGCCTTGAGTGTATGTGACCTTTTGCTGAGATGACTCTGGAAAAACCCTAGCCTCCTTCCCCCTCCACAGCCTCATAAATAGATGTGTGTCCACACTCTCATCCGGGGCCTGGGAAACTCGCTCTAAGCTGCCAGTCCGACTGGGTGATGCAGACTATTTCATGGGGTCAGCACTGTCAGCACCATGCTGCTCAGGGGAGGCACTAGGGGCGCTCCTCTGGCTGAGTGAAAGGCATGGAGCCTTCTAGATGCTCTACCTGGAACCAGGTCTTTCTTGCAGTCCCCCATCACCTGCTGGGGTGCCTCCTCCCCAGCCCTCACAGCACCTAATGACACTGTGTTGAAAGGGAAGCGAGGGCCTGGGTGGGGATGGGAGATGCTGCATCTGGGACATGGTGGGCAGGTGAAGAAGACAGAGGACCTCAGGAGAGGGGTTCTCTCTGGGGTACAAGGACAAGATTCTGTGGGGCTCCCTGGCTGAGCAAGGGGTCCCTGCCCTGAGGAGGAGCTGAATGAGATATCTGCAAGTGCATAGCTGGTCTTCCACTGCAGCGTGACCCCCAGGTGGACGCTGACCCTGTGATCCGTGGTGCCAGCTCCTAAGAGCCTTAAACTCACCTGCCTGGCCCTCAGGTGAGGCTCAGGCTGTGCTCTTGTGTTCCTCGCCCTCTCCCAGAATCCCCCAGCCAGATGGTGCTCCAGCTGCCCACATGGAAATCTGCTCCACATCCTTGCTTTACTCCCATCTCAGACTGACCTGGCTCATGGGGTCACTGTCAAAAGCACTTGTACTAGAGTCCTTGTCCCAAGGTCTGTTTCCCTGTGACCCTAAGACAAGAGCCCATGTGTGTTGTATCCTGTAGGAGGACCATGCTGGCCCTGGTGCCCCCCAGAGGGGAGTGTGCTAGGCCACCTGAAGGTGAGCCCTTGGCAACAATACCAACAGGCCTTCCATGCAGAGACCCTGGAGTTACAGGGCCAATCAATGCCTTATTGCTTGGGGATCCTGGCTCCCACACCCCCCTATTCTGCACATGTGGGAAGTGGGCCTTCCTGAAGTTTTCTGCAACCAGAAGCAGGTGCACAGTTCCTGTCCTCCTAGCACAGCCCAGCTGTTCGGTAGTCACATCTCCAAGAGACTGACAGGGTGCCCCAGCTCTCCCTCCAGCTGATCTTGTCCAGCCACCCCAGAGCCTTGTGCCATGAGGGTGTCCCCAGCTAGAGGGATGCAGGTGGACTTGTTTGGGGTGAGTCCTCCAGAGATGTCTGTGAGTCTGTCCCCTCTGAGGAGAAGCTGTCCCCAGTGGGGCAGGAGACCTGGCTCTTCCTGGAGAGCTGCTGCCAGGAGAAGAGGGTGACACGAGACCGCTCCAGGAGCTCCTGGGAGCCTTTGCCAACATCAGCCCTCACCACCTTGCTGAGGCATGGAGGGTCTGCCTGAAAAGTTCTATTCTGCCGGTTTCTGGCAGCCCAAGGAGGCCAGCAGGGTTTTGGCAAATGATCCACACCCAAAGAGTCCTGCAGGGGCAGGTCCCACCTCCCCTTGGAAGCCATTTCTCCATTCAGACCCCAGCCCTTGGCTGCTGCCCCTCTTAGTTCCGAGGGTGCCAAGTGGGCAATGGAGTCCGTTGGGCACAGGCAGTGCACCTTCTTGAGCAGGCTCTGGATCTCCTGGTGTCTCCCCTGGGCTTCCTGCCACAGGTCCTGACCCAGGCCTGCCCGGCTCAGGGAGGCCACCTGCAGTGCCATGGCTGCCAACTTCTCGGCAGGGAACTCAGACGTCAGGCGCTGCAGGTAGCGGTGCAGGCGGCGCTGGTCCCCGGGGCTGGCCCTCTGAGCCTTGCCCAGCCTGAGCTGGCTCACCAGGTCCTGGCAATCCATGTGGAACCAGGTCATCTGGGGGCAAGAGAGAGGGAGGTGGGGATGCCATTGGGGTGTGGGACTCCACAAGGGCAGGGTTCTTGTCTGAGTAGCAGGCGTGCCCTGCAAGAGCTTCACTCCCTGAACTGATGAGTGCCGGTCAATTCAGAGACCCTCAGCTTGGCAGTAGTTTTCTCTATTGATCAGGAATAACTGGTTTCCCTTTCTATCCTGGGCTATAAACACTCGCCACCTGGTAACAGATTCCAGCACCCTGGGGCTCTTCAGAAACCTTCAACAGACCTATAGCCCAGCAGGACTTGCCCTCTCTTGGGCTACTTCTCCTGTAAAATGGGAGCTCCAGCAATCGGGAAAAGCCTCACAAAAGCTGCAAATGTGGACCCTTAGATTGGCTTAGCTCCTATGGGAGGTCCTGAGGGAGCAGTCTGGCTAAGGTGGATCAAATGCCACTGTTTGCCAAGTCCTGAGGGTGTTGTGTATGATCACAATGAACTGGGCCAGCAGCCCATTTTACAGAGGAGGAAACTGAGTCTTGGAGCAGTGAAATAACTTGCTCCGGGTCACACAGCAAGTCAGGGAGGAGCTGGGGTTCTCTCCAGGCAGAGAGAAATTGTGCCTGAAGGAGACACTGGCCCAGACATGGCAGGACTCTCGGCCCAGCTAGGCCCTGAGATCTCTCACTCCAGTGGAGCCTCTGCCCACCTTGTGATCTCCCGATCCCCAATTCCTCCACAAAATATCTACAGGCTACAAGGAACCCCACATGTCCCCAGGAGCTCATGAAAAACCTAATCTCTCTCTCCATTAATTTAGAGCCCGACAGCGAGCCACTAGGCTGTGGGGTGGCAGAACCATTTCCTCCATGGAGAGCGTCTTTCTGCGGATTAGGGGAACTTGTCTTTAGATAAATAGCAGCACACGAAGCTCACGGCCAGGAAAGAGCTCCATAAATCTCCGTTAGCAGCAGAGTCATGTTATTATATAGTGCCGAAGCTGCTGTACACAGGTGCCCACCTGGGGCTGAACCCGCCAGTAGACCTGTCTGTGTGTCTGTCTGTCTGGATCTTTCCAGCCAGGCTGGACAGACACAGACAATGGCTGATTCAGAAAATCATCCAGCCTAATCTGTGGTGCACAGAGAAAGGGTCAGGACCAGAGAGGAGCAGCACCTTGCTGGGGTCTCACAGACAGACTCACTGAGGCAGGACTCACAGTCAGGCCTCTCCTCCCTCAGTGCCAGTTCTAGCCTGGGACAGACACCACCTTCTCAAGGGCATCCCAGGCCTGCTGTCCTCACCCTTCCTCACTCCCCAGGCCAGTCTCCCACAATAGCTCAGAGTGCAGCTCCTGTGCTGGCCATCTCCAAGGGGGCACAGAGAAGACAAGGAAGTGACAAAGCAGCAGGGTCATCTCAGATCACAATAAGCTGTGGAACAATGCAGCAAGTGATGAGAGAACAGGGCTGAGTGGCAGAGTGGTCAGGATGGGCCTCCTGGAGAAGCTGAGGGAGAAGGAAAGACCAGAGCCAGCCTGGCCAGGGAAGCCCTTCCCAGGCAGGGGGAACAGCATGTGCAAAGGCCCTGGAGCTGGAGCAGGCTGGGTGGATCTAGGGAAGGCCTCCAGGGCTGCAGTGGGCAGAAATCAGTGAGTAAGGGAAAGAAGCTTCCTGTGCTGGGCACCCTGCTCTGCCCTGGCATTACTCCTCCTCCAGATAATAAGAATGATATTAATGATGATCCTGAAGTGGAGCAGCCCTGTGCTGGAGGTTACTGACCATTAATCTGAGTCTGTCCCTACCTGGAAGGCCAGGCACTAGAGCCAGATGGTCTGGTTTTGAATCTCAGCTCTTCCACTCTGCCGGTTGTGTGACCCTGGGTGTTATTTGACCTCTCTAGTTCCCCCTGTGTAAAGTAGGCATAACACTGGCACAGGGCTGGTGTGATAACAAAGCAGATGTGAAATGACTGGAACAGAGCCTGACACATCAGAGCCTCAGAAGAATCAGCTGTGACGGTCATCAGCACCACGGTGGAGCCGGGGCTCAGAGCAGTGCAGTGCTGTTCAGGCCTCACACGTGGCCCTGACTCTGAGTCCCGGATTCTGCCTCTTCCTTGCTCCCTAAGCCCTGCACAGCTGTGTGTGGTGCCTTCACTGTCACCAGTGACATCTGCCTGTCCCACCTGCTGCCTCATGGAGGCAGAGAGCACGCTGTCCTCCCTTGGCCCTGGGCCTGTGTGCATGAACCCAGGTCCCTCCCGTGCCCTCCAAAGCATCTTGCGTTCCTTGTCCCTGTGTTCAGGGTCAGCCTCACAGTTGGGATGTGGGAGTCAGGCTCTTCCCAGGCTCTGTTCCTAGTGACAAGTTTGAGGGGTAGCCCTGCAGTTTCTGGATCCCTAGGCAGCTCCTTTGTCCCCAAAACTCAGTTTCCCTATCAGAAAAATGAGTTTGGCAGCATGGGTTTAAGAGGAGCAAGAGGCCTTAAGTTAAATCTTGCTTGATCCTTGACACTTTGGACAACCTTGAGCAAGCTGCCCCCTCTTTGGGCCCTGGTTTTCTCATCTGTACAATGGGAGTAGCACTGGTATTCGGTCAGGGTGTGAGGTGTTCACAGGAGGCTCTGAGCAGCCCCCCCCCAGCGACCTAACCCAGTTCTCCCTCACCCCTCACAGGACTGTGGGAATGAGTCACAGTAAGAGCCAAGGGCTGCGTCTAGGCCTCCTCCTGTCCCCACCACACCCCCAGCCCGGAGAAGGGGTCTGTGCTGGTGGGCGGGCTGCAGGGCTCACCTTCTTGCAGAAGCGATGCAGGTGCAGCAGGGTGTCGAGGTCTGTGCGCTGCCGCTCAGCCGCCATGTAGAAGTGGGTCAGCTTGGCCTGGAAGGCCCGCTGGGTGGCGGTGAAGGCCCCCAGGTCTGGGAGCCCCTGGCCTCCAGCCTCGCCAGCCCCTCTGGCCACGGCTTCCAGCTGGGCTGCCTGCTTGGACAGCTCCAGGCCTCGGCGGTACTGGGCCTGGGAGGGGACAGCAGGGGTGTTCTCAGCTCCAGCCTGGGGATTCCTAGAGGTCAAGGCCCTCCCGCTGCCCCACTGTAGCTACACTGAGCCTCAGTTTCCTCATCTATAGACTGGCTCTAAAGCACCATTTGCAGGGCTCAGCAAGTAAAGGACACCTAGGAGTGGCCATCATGCCTTGGACAGTCTCCGGGCCTTTGCCTTGGCCATTCACTCCCTTCTGGAGAGCTCTGGCCTCTAAGTCTATGTGTGAGGCTTCTCCTCTGTGTCCTCCAGTTCTCTCTGTCAGTGTTCCTGTTGTCCCTGGCCCCCATCCCCCACTAGCCTGGGAGTTCCCTGAGGGCTGGATGGGCTGAAGCTCCCTATGCCCCTAGCTCCTCTCCATCCACTCTCTGAAGCTGGCTTAGCGGCCTGGGATGAGGTCTTGGAATCTGAATTTTACAAACTGCTCTAGAACTGAGTGTTCTTTGGACTTGGTTATCTGGAAGGCTCCCTGGAGGTGGAAACATCTCAGCTGAGTTCTCCAGGGACCCAGCTGACTCTTCACACCCTCTGCAAGTTTCCTTACACTTTTCACCTGCACCCTTTTGTCCTAGCAGGGCCACCCCTCTAAGGCCCTCTCCATCCCCTCTGGAACGCACGGCGGCCTGCAGGAAGAAGGCCTCGAACTCGGCGTGGGCTCGTGCCACTGTCTCCATACTTCCATCCTTGGGGGTGAGCGCCTGCAGGCACTGACTCCCTTCCTGCTCCATCCAGTCGCTGACCTGGGCAGGCGAGATTTGGACATGAGGGGCTGCTGGGGAGACCCTGGGCCAGCTCCCCAACTTCTGGGAGGCCAAGGTCTTCTTGACTCAGTCATTCACCACCCTGGACTGAAGCCTGGCAAGGTGTGGGGAGGAGATGTGGGGAGGGCATGTTCTTCAACCATCTGAACCAACTCCCAGCCCAAGCGGGACCCAGGGGGGATGTGGCCTGGGCATCCTGCACACAGTCACAGCGTGGCAGGTCTTGGCTCATTCTATGTAACCACTCACTGTGCCCTGGGAGTGATGAGCCCCTCATCCCTGGGGCCATGCAATCAGCTGCAGAGGAAGGGATCTGGGCCCACCATAAACCCAGCAGTTCACTTTCTTTTTCTGGCCTCAGTTTACCAGTAGTAAAGTGGGGGTAGACATGAAGATCCAGTGAGGGATAGAGGGTACAGAAGAGTTCTCATCCAGGAGTGTAAGTTCCCATCTTCCTCTTGGGTGTCTTAAAGAGCCAGACTGACTTGCTGTGCCCTCACAGAGCCCAAGGTAGCAGGCAATCATATCACCCCAAACAATGCCTGCAAGCTGGGACTGGGCTCCCAGCATCATGCCCACAGCTCCAGGGAGGAAGGATGCAGTGATCAGACACTGGCATCCAGAGAGGTGGCACCAGTGTAGGTTCCAGGATCAGACTCCAGGTGTGCTGTCATGGGTAGGCGGCACCATCTCCCAGCCTCAGTTTCCTCATCTGTGCAGTGGGAGAAACCCTAAGGACCTCCCTGCATCACTGATAAGAGATGGAGTTGGAAAGCAATGAAGTATACGCAAAGGCTCTGGCCCAGGACTTGGCGCACACTTGGTGCTCAGTAAGTGCAGCTCTTAGGGTGATGCCATCACCCTTTAAGTACTTATGGAATGTCGTGCTGTGTTCCCTGTCCCTAGGTTGCCAGCCTGGTGACCTTACCAGATAACAACATGCCTGGATGGGGGAGCCAACAGGAGGTCCTCCTGGGTGGAGGGCAGCCAGGCTGAGCCCCATGTCTCCCAGGCCAGCCTCCCCTTTCACCTGGCAGATGGCAGCCTCCAGGCGGCCCAGGCGGATGCGGAGCTCCAGTCTCCCCAGGAGGTGGTTGGATGCAGTGACCAGGACGTGAAGCTGCTCATCCACGAGGCTGTACAGGGCAGCTGCTTCAGCCAGATGGCTCCTGGGAGGTGGAGGAGATTGAGAAAAACCCTCAAGCCCACGCTGTACAGCCCAGCTCCCTTAATCTGTCTCTGTCACCTGTAAAGCAGGGACAGTAACAGAACCCACTTGCAAGACAGAGTGCTCTCATGCCTCAGCCTTGCACTCTACCTGCCCACCAGAGCCTGCGCTGTGAGCTCGCGGAAATGTCAATGCCGGTGTTCCACTCAGGCCAGCCAAGCCAGTCTCTGGGTGAGGAGGAGTCCTGGTGCTTTCTAAAGCTCCTCAGGAGATGCTGTTGCAGCCTGCATGAGGGCCACATTCATGCAGCAAAATGCTTCACACAGTGGCCACACAGGACACTGGTCAGCCAGTTATGCTTTCTACTGCAATGAGGGCCGGTCGCTGCCCCCCTCCATTTTACAGGTGGGAAAACTGAGGTCCTGAGGGAGGAGTGACTCTCACTCATGGCAGTCTATACTGGAACCAGGCCAGAGCTATCTCTGCACAGACTTTTTTTTTTGGTAGCGGGGATCGAACTCAGGTCCTTGCTCTTGCACAGCAGGCGGCAAAACCACTGAGCTAAATCCCCCGCCCTGCACAGACTTTTAAAAAATACCCCAAACCACAAAACACAAAGGGAGTAGATGGGATTTCCTGCATAGAAGTGGTTGGGTGAAAGGAGGAATCTCAGAAAAAGAAAACAAGAGGGGGTGGGGATTCAGCTCAGTGGCACCGCACCTGCCTCATAAGTGCAAGGTCCTGAGTTCAATCCCTGGTACCGGGAAAAAGAAAACAAACAAACAAAAAACAAGAAAAGTAAAAGAAAAAGAGAAGATCTACCAGGTGTGGTGAAGCACACCTGTAATCCTAGTGTTTGGGAGGCTGAGGCAGGAGGATTGCAAGTTCAAGGGCAGCCTGGGCAATTTAGCAAGACCCTGTCTCAAAGTTTAAAAAATTTTTTTTGAAAAAGGGCTGTGAATGTAGCTCAGTGGGAGAGCACTTGCCTAGCATGTGTGAGGCCCTGGGTTCTTTCCCTAGTGCTGCAATAAAGAAAAAGAAAACGGAAAGAAATAAAAAAAGAAAAGGGGTGGGGGAGGGACGATGGAAGAAAAGCCTGCTTTTCCAGACCAGCACTGCTCTGCCTGGCCCTCCATGTCTGACTGCATCTTCCCGCAGATCGCTACCTTCTGAAAAAGGGGTGAGAGCTTAGGGTGCGTGAAGCAGACGGTCGGAAAATGCCACAAATGCCAGCTGCAGGAGGCTGGAGAGGGAGAAAGGGAGGGACTGGCAGGCCGAGGTCCAGCACGGAGCAAACACACTCAGCGGCTCTCGCGGTCCCACAGCGCCCCCTGGTGGAGATGAAGGCAGCCACGGGTCCATAAGGGCCAAGGTGGGCTGGGGCTGGGCAGGAAGGTGAGGCCGGGACACGCCGAGAAAGGTCAGTGCCAGCCCCACCAGGCATTGAGAGGGGCGCCAGGCCCAGCGGTGCCTGGGCTCCCATTTGTGTGAACCTCCCCGAGTGCAGGGTGCAGCCTAAGGGGATTTGTTCGATTCTGGGGCCTGGGTGTCTGGACTCAAGCCCTGGTCCCACCACACTCCTCTGTGGGACCCTGCACTAGTCACTTGACAAGCTTGGGATGTCACACCCCTCCACTGTAACACAAGGATGGTGCTGGGAGGAGTGGGAATTAAATGAGTTAATATTTGCAAGTCCCTAAGACAATGCTGTATGTGTGCTAAATGCTATCTGGGTGCTCAGTAACTAATTGTTCTTCAAAGTTTATACAAACTTTGGTCTCAGCTCCTGAATATAAGTACCTGTGTTTTAATAGAGAAAATATTTGAAATAAAATTACTGACCAATTTATTCACAGGTTGAGTATCCCTTCTCTTGGGACCAGAAGTGTTTCCAATTTCCAATTTTTTTCTTTTTGTACTTTGGAATATTTGCATACACATTATGAAATATCCTGGGAATGGGACCCAAGACTAAATACAAGATTTATTTATGTTTCATATATACCTTTTACACAGCCTGAAGGTCATTTCATAGGATGTTTTTAATAATTTCGGGCATGAATTTTCCACTAGTGCTCTAAATACTTTAGAGTTTGGAGCATTTTGGAGCTCTGATTTTCAGGTTGGGGAAGCTCTACCTGTATGGTACTGACTGTCCCATACCCCCTAAACTGAAGGCATGAGTGTGTCTATCGTTGACTCTGTGGCTCCGGGACCCCTGGCACACTGCAGTTCTCCTGTCAGGCTGATGGGGATGAGGATGCAGGACGTGGAGGGTTACATGTTCAGAGGTCCTGGCTTCAACTCCCCAGTGGGCCACTGTCACCTCAGTGAGCCCCAGTAACCATCCTCCAGATGAGGACAGCGTGGGCTTCACAGTGAGATGGGCATTTGGAGGGCTTGGCACAGTGTCTGGGTCAGAGAAGGGCTTGGTCCACAAGACTGAGCAGAAGCTGGGAGATCTCCTCTCATGCCCACCCTGCGGTGAAGATGGCCAGGGACAAAGGAGGATGGCAGAGAAAGGCCAAAGGACTTGCCAAGGCCCATCGAGGGTCGTGGGCTTCCATGGGGCCCACTCTACATGTCGCCTTGGCTGGTGCTGCCACCTTATAGCTCCCAGGCTAGGGGACGGGGTGGGGTGGGGTGGGGTGGGGAGGGAAAAGCCTGGTGTCTGTACCTGATGTCAGGGTTAGAGTCCAGCCTGCTGGCCTCACACTGCAGCCTGGCCAGGGTGGCCCCACCTTCCTGCTGCAGGCCCAGCAGGCCTGGGTCTCTCAGCACGGCCTCCATCAGCTCCTTGGACTTGCTCAGACACCTGGTGGCCTCCTGCCAGCATAGGGAGGTACCCTGAAGCCCAATCCTCGCTTTCCTCCTGGGCTCCCCACATCAAGGTCAAGCCCAACTTCCCCAGTTCCTCCAGAAAGTCTATTCTTTTATCTCTAATGCCTCTCCTCAAGCCACTCCTCCCCTCATCACCATGGTAACTTCACTGGTCCAAGCTCTATCTCTTGCTGGAACACCCATCCTACCCTCTTTGCTACTGTATCGCCCTGCTGCCCTCTGGCTCCCCCTACAGTCCGTTCTCCACATGGCAACTGAAAAGATAAGTACAAATCCCATCATCCCCTTGCTTAAAATTCTCCAGTGGCTTTCTTACCCACTTACAATGGAACCCCAACCCAGCTCCAGGACCTGGTCTCTGCCGAACTTGGAAGAGCCTTCAGTGCTCTCTTCTTTCTGCCTACTCACTCTGCTTCAAGCTGAACTTCATGTTATTCCTGTGCGTGCCACGCCTTCCCATCTCAAGGGCTTTGCACATGTTTACCTTCTGCCTGGAGCTCCACCCTTCTCAAAAGCTGGCTCTTTCTTGAGCTTCAACCCTCAATTTAAAAAGCATCTCTTCAGAGAGTCCATCCATCTGCTGTTATTCTCAATCTTACTTCCATGGCATCTTGGCACAATCTGTAACTACCTGTCCATTTCTTGGTTTGCTTTTTAATGACCACCTGCACCACTGCACTGTGAGCTCTGCCAGGGCAGAGGCGAGTCAGTCTGACACAGCAGGTGCCCAACAGATATTAGCCAAGTGGATGAATGAAAGACAGATGATTCTGGGCTGGGGATTTAGCTCAGTGGGTTCACCACCTGCTGCACAAGCACAAGGACTCGAGTTTGATCCCCGGTACCAAAAAACCAACCAAACAACCAAACAAACAAAAAAAAAGACAGATGATTCTGCCCACCCTGGCTGTCTCCGTCACTGAGCTCAGTCTGTAGAGTCTGGGGTGTGGTGTGACTTCCCTGCCCCGTGCTCCAGGCTCACCTGCACCCCCCCAGGGGGGTCGCCCTTCTCAAACTCCTTGATGGAAGCCCGCAGCAGAGAGGAGGCCTGGTGAAGCTCAGCAAGGAAAGGATCCACCTTCTGCAGGACAGAGGCCAGAGAGTGTCAGGTCCAGCGGGGAAGATGCTGGACCCACCCCAGAGGACGCAGGGAGGCGTCAGGACAGAGTTCCCAGTTCAGTGTCTCTAAGATGGACGTGAGAATATGCATGTCTTGAAAGTTCCTAGGAAATGATGGTGCTGTCCTGGAGGGCCCCACATTGGACTGGAGCCACTCATGTCAGGATAAGAGAGAGAAGAAGACAGGTCTAAGTCACCCCTGAGGCCAGTAGGGAGACTTTGGGGAGGGGAAAGACAGATTGAAGGCCATATCCTTGGCCTGGTCCCACTTTAGCCCAGCTCTGCTTAGGCTGTGAGGTCTTGAGTAAGTTACTTAGCCTCTTGGACCTTTGCTTCCTCCTCTGTAAAATGGGGATCATCATAGCTCCTGCCTTGTACGGTGTATGAGTATTTGGTGGTTAATTTGTTCGTGGCACTTAGAGCCCAGAGAATACTGGAATTTGTCACTGCCACCAGCTTTATATTCTGGTCCATATAAGAGTTCATGGAGGGCTGAGGATTTAGCTCAGTGGTTCCACCACTTGCCTCGCAAGCGGAAGGACCTGAGTTCGATCCCCAGTACCAAAAAAAAAAGCTCATGGGAAGGAAAGCTTTGAAAGCTGCAGTATAGTTCAGAAGTTACTAGATTAACTGGAGGTCTCTAGAGATGGAAAATGGACCCTGGGAGCAAGTAGGAAAGGAGGCTTCTCAGGATACACCATTGGCAATTTGGATACACAGTCATCCCTTGGCATGGGAGGGGGACAAGTTCTAGGACCCCCACTGATTCCAAGCTCCAAGGATGCTTGAGTGCCTTATGTAAAGTGCTGCAGCATTTGCATACACCCTAGACACAAGCTCCTGTGTACTTTTAAATCATCCCTAGACTGTGTATGATACCTAATGGAATGTAAATGCTATGTAAATAGCTGTTACACTGTATTGTTTAGGGAATAATGACAAGGAGAAAGGCTGTACATGTTCATTCAGCACAGATGCAATTTTTGTTTTTAAATGACTTCCGTCTGCAGTTGGTTGAATCCATGGTTGCAGAACACACAGATGTGTTGGGTGGACTGTCCAGCCTTTTCAAACCCAGGCACAGCTGTAAAAAGAGGCTCCCCTAACAAAAAGCAAATATACCACCATGTAAGACTGGTAGTATAGGCCAGCGGTTCTCAATGGGGTTGACTTTGCATCTTGGGGACATTTGGCAGTGCACAGTGACATTTTTACTGTCATCATTGTTAAGGACAGGCCAAGGATGCTACTAAACATGCCCTGGAGCACAGGACAGTGCCCTATGTGAGACAGTGACCTGGCCTCAGCCCTAAAAAGGCTGTGTTTGGAATTGGGCACTTGGTGGGAAGGGCCCTGGATGGACGTGTGCAGGTGCTGTGTTCCATGTGCTTTATGCTGATGGTGTTCACGTGCCCTTGTGCAAGCCACCCCCACTCTGTGCCCTCGTGTGAATCTGGGAACAAAAGACCCCTGGTAGGGTAGTGGTGGGGAGGAATTGCGGCCAGGAAGGATTTGTTTGTTTCCTCCCACCAACAGGAGGATGCATATCTGCCCCCCACTTCGACCCTGAGCTCCCAGAGCTGTGTGGGTCCACAGAGCAGATGCCCATAAATCTATTTTCGGTTAACACAGACAGCTCAGAGCATTGCCAGACACTCTTCTAAGCTCTTTATCCACATTGACTCAATCCTCACAAAAAATCCATAAAGAGGTGATACTATTACCCTCCTATTTCACGGACGAGGAAACTAAGGCTTAGCGATGTAAGTAGCTTACCCAAGGTCACACAGCAGAGCTGGAGTAGAACCCAAGAAGTCTGACCCCAGAGCCTGAGCTCTTACTCATTCCACTCTGTGCCTTCATTTCAAATTTTTGTTGAATTACTGTGTTTGAATCCAATGGGGTTGATGAATCCAGGTGGCAGGACAGTAACAGGAGGAAGAAAAAGAGTGAGAGTCAAGGGCTAAAGGCTGTGATGGTAGACACCTGGAAGAACTGCACCCACTCGCTGTGGGAGTAGGGGAAGGGGCCTTCCAGGGCTGCAGGCAGCTGGCTGGGGTCCACATGGTGGCTGAGGGCCTTCAGTGAGGCCAGCACCTCCACCTGCAGGCAGAAGAAGTGAGTCAGGAGGTCCAGGGAACTCTGTGAAGACTGATGTTTGAGAAGGTCCTTTCTCCATCTCTGCCCTGGCACCAGTCCAGCTCTACAAGCTCAAAAAATCAAAATTCAGAACCAGACCCTCGTTAAGAAATGGCAGATACACAACCACCCTTCCAACCTGTGCCCCAAACAGACATCATTAATCAATTGCAGCACTTGCTCCCTCTGAGCTTGGTTCTTTCCCAACACAGCTCTCTGGGAAATAACGAATTGATCAAAGCTGGCTCTGTGACGAGACTTCCCTATAAGCCTTGGACTGCTCTCTGGTGACCCCTCAAGGTACTGCCTCCTCACTGGATGGATGGGAAAGGTCACCATTCCTAACAGTGTCTCCTAAGACATGGAGAAGTGACTAGGTGATGGTTTCTCCCATGTAGTGAAGTTCAGATTTATGCTGAGAATAGCTCGGAGACCTAGGGCTGGGATGGGGTTTCCAACCTGTCTGTCATCCCTGCTACTCAAAGTGTGGCTTGTGGGTCAGCAGCACCAGCATTGCCTATGCACACATTAGAAATGCAGGTGCTTGGTCCTGCCCCAGCACTACTCCGCTCCCCACAAAGGAGGCTGAACCTCAGTTTTAGAAGTTGCTTTCTTGGCAATCAATCTGGAAGTTCTAAGCACACTCAGGTTTGAAAAACACATCTCTAGCTCACACTGTGCCTCCTTAATTAACCTGGAGAAAGAAGGAGACCTTGTGAGTCACTTCCCAAAGTGGGGCAGGGCTGGTGCGCACATTCATTCTCATAGGACATGGTACTAATTAAAGGAAGCCACAGGCTCTTTCCCAGAAAGTTCCAAGTTGACCACATTTGTATTAAGTAGAGATAGAAATTCAGGCAGAGGCAGCTGAGGCACTGGGCCCTGAGTCAGGAGACTCCAGCTCTGTGACTGGCTTGCTGGGTGGCTTTAACCTTCAGTTTCCCCATCGGAAAAGAGGGGGGGAGGTTGACAGAAGAAGCTTTTCAAGTAGGTCTCCTGCCATGTGCAATTCTCAGTCACACGACAGTATCCTCCAGGAGTTGTTGGGATGATGACAGAGACATATGAAGTATGATCAAAAACTAAAGTGAACATGGAAATCAAAATAATTTATTACAATAAAAGACACATTATCATCAGTTCCCCCCCAAAGTATTCCCCTTACTTTGAACACACTTATCCCATCATTCTTGCCACTTTCTGAAGATGTTCTGGAAGTCCTCTTTTATGTCTTTAGTTGCACTATCATGGCTGCCTTGATGTCCTGAATTAATTGAAAACATTTACCTTCCATGGTCATTTTGACTTTAGGGATGAACCAGAAGTTGCACAGTGCCAAATCCAGTGAATCAAGTGGATAAGGACATACCATAATGCTTTTATGAGGCTGCCTTTCCATTGGATGGCCCTTGGCAGCAACATTCACTGTGTTTTGAATCTCACCTTGTAATGGCACTCATGGAAGACTTCCAGAACTGCTTCAGAAAGTGGCAAGGATGATGGGATAAGAGTGTTCAAAGCAAGGTGGGAGTTGAGGGGGGTTAACTGCAATGTGTCTTTCACTATAATAAAATTTTTAAAATTTAAACATTCACCATCTATTTTGCTTGTGCCTCATAATCCACTGATTGATTTGGTGACACCTGCATTGGAGGCAGGACTGGACAGGCAGCACCGGGCCTTGTGTTTCTTTCCCTACACTAGATCGTTTAAAGGCCTCTTCCAGCTCATTATTCCTGCCATTCTTCTTGCCCCTTCCCTCACTCAGCTCCACCCAGCAAGTCCCCTCCCATTCCCCACTCTGCCTCTGCTCACCTGGATGTCAGGGGACACCTGCAGCTGGACAGCATCCTCATTTTCTCCCAGGATGAGCAGTGCGCTGAGGGAGGCCAGAGCCACAGCCTGCCAGAGAGAGCCACTTCAGGGCCACCCCACCAAGCCCTCATGAGCTCCTGCCCCCCACGATGCAGCAAGTGGGCCCCAGCACAGTGTGGGTTTCCCCATTGCCAAGCTTTTGTGTGATATGTTTAGAGAGGGAGCCACTGCAGGTCAAGAAAGCAGCAGATCCAAGCTTCCTTTCCAGATGTCGCAGCCCCAGTGCCTCAGTTTGCCCATCTACACAATGAGGAGGTCAGTTCGTGAGGGAGGCTTCTCCAAATCTCATCTACCTTGCTGCCTGTAATGCCAACTTGGGAACCTCTTCCATTCATGAGATCTATTTGAGCCACAGGGACTGGCCGAGGGCTGCACATCTGAAGTAATCAGGGCTAATGGACACCAAGAAACCTCTGCTGGGACCTCTGGAACTTTTACTCTTTCCTGCTGCCTTTAAGTGAGATCATGGCTATTTAGAGTTGCTGGGAATCATACTGGCACCAAGCAGGGCAGGTGGAATTGTGGAAGAATAGTCCCCTCCCGGGACAGGGTCACAAATGGAGAGAGGAACCAGGTCTGGTGACAATATTTGAGCCCTTGGATCAAGCAGTACCTGAAGTTGGATTTGACTCCTGCACGGTCTGTCTAGCTACAATCAGTGAACTCCCTTTGTCTTTAAGTCTGCTCCCTCACGTTTTCTGTTTGTTGCCACTAAAAGTCCCTGGTTCTGAGCTGAGCCCCACGGTTCTTGGCAGGTCAAAGTCCCCTGGTGACCCCAGGACTTGGTGGAACTCCACCTCCCACTCACCTGGGTGGCCTGCAGGGCGCTGACCAGAGCAGGCGGTGGGGGCTGTTTCCTGGCATCAATCACAACCACCAGCCCCTTGGCTTTATCTTCTGGCCTGTGGGTAGGAAACACAAGTAGCAGTCTTGCTGGGTAGCCTGGGGTTCACTGGGCAGATGGGCCTAGTAGCAGACAGGGAAACTGACTGCTGGAAGCCTTGCTTGATTGCTGAACTGCTTCACTCTACAAGACCAAGTTCCAGTGCCCCTTGCAGGAAGCCCTCCAGGACTTCTAGAGATCTCATTGCCTCCAAACAGCCATATCTCCCAAGGGCAGTTTCTAATTGATGAGCCATTAGTGACCCAATTTCCCTGAACAATGACTGGGGACAATAGAGGTCATGTGACATATCTCTGCCCAATGAGATGGGAGGAGAAGTGGCTGGGGCCTTGGGAGGAAGATGTCCTCTCCTTTAAAAAGTTCTTACAGGGCTGGTAAAAAAAAAAGTTCTTAGAAAGAGCTAAAGACAGAGACTTAGGATGCTATATTTCCTAAGTGGTAAGATGTTTTGAATTGGAATTTTGGTGACTTGTAGCCAAAACACTTCAGCTGATTCAGCTTCATGAGCTGGGTGGGGTTAGAGTAGGCTACCCTGCAGTGGTTCCTCAGGATTTCCCAGCCTGGCCCAACCACCAGGACTTGTCAAAATACTCCACCCCCACACCACCCCCTGATGTTTGGTTAGCAGGTAGCGGGTGGGGCAAGGGGTCTGAGTGGGGCTGTCTATGCCCTTGGCCAGTCTGATGATTGGAGATTTTGGGGAAATAACTCCCAACTGCCTTCAAGCCTTGCGATCACCCAGCTCACAGACAAAACCGGAAGTGTCCATTGGGTTGCAGAGCTGTGGCACTGCCCTTAGTATCTGGTGACCTGGGTGAGTTGCTGTCTCTCTCCCAGTCAAATGAACACTAATTGTGCCAGCCTGGTGGTGCTGTGTGTGGACTGCTGAGTTTGGTAAAGCTCCCAGCCACTGCATAGAGTGAGAGGGATACAAATGTTTGCTGCTCCTACTGTCCTCAAAGGGGAAACTGAGGCACAGGGAGACATGATGGACCGGGAGAGGCGGCTCTAAGGTCTCTGACTTCACCTCCCCACCCCAGCCGTCCCTATGTCTGTGCTGGAACAAGGGTTTGTTTGCAGACCCATCTCTGCCACCACCCTGGAGGCCCCTGGAGGTTAGGGCCCCTTGTGAGGAGCCCTTGGGTCCCTGGTCCCACACAGCATGAACCAGGGCCCTGGGCAGGTGCCCAGCCAATGTCTGCTCAGAGCACAAGAGGGAAACCAGCCCAGCATACAGGAACCTAGTGGGCACCGCACCTCACAGTTTAGTGATCGGTCCCCTCACCCCTGCCACCCGAGGCCCCATTTGTCCTTAGAGTGCACTGGTCATCTCCGTACTAGGCAAGCCTCAGAGAGGAGAGGTTACTGCCCCAATGTCACACAGCAAGTCAGTAGGGTTCCTGGGTTCTCTCAACTACAGTGGCCACTTCGCAGCACTGCGAAGGGGATCCCATCTCCCCTTCTAGAAAAGCCATTCTGCCTTGGAAAAAAAAGACAAATCTCAGGGGCCAGCGGGAGCAGTGATGGCAGAGAGAAGGTACCAAAGGGTTCCACCCCTACCCCAGCAGAACTCTAGGCTGGGCCGGGGGGTCTACAGCTGCAGTCCCGAGTGATGGCACCCCAAAGCTGTCCTGGCTGGGACTGTCTCCAAGGAGAAAGTGCCCCTTCTGGTCTGTCCAACGTGCAGTCTTCATGGAGGTGAGGGTGGGGGTGGAGAGGAATCAGGGAGTTGGAAAGAGTCACCCAGGTCGCCATCTTTCACTCACATTCATTCTTTAATTCTCTCACTCATTCATTCCCTCTCACTTTCATTTATTCACAGATGTTTGTAATTCAGATAACAGCTCAGTTATTATCACCTTCTCAGGGAAGCCTTCCCTGATTTTCCAGCTGAATTTGGCTTTCTCACTCTTCCCAGTACAACAGGGGTTCTCAAAGTGTGGTCCCCCCAGGCCAAACTTATTAGAAATGCAAATTCCAGGCCCAGCTCGGCTGAATCAGAAACACTGTGATCTGGTTATCCAGCCCCAGTGACTCGCTCAAGTTTGAGAACCACGGATGCCCAATATCTGTTTTGTGCACCACATTAGCTTTCCTGAAAGGCACCTGTCCATGGTGGTTTCTTGCGAACTGTCCCTCTCTCCCATCAGCCTGGGCTGGAGCCTGTCCTGCCTTCCCCAGCATCTGGCTCGGGACTGGCTCTGGGGACACCCAGCTGGATGGGCGGACACAGGGCCTCTCCACTCGGCCTGGTCAGGAGCTCTGGGCTGAGCGGGTCCAGGAGGGGATGGAGTGGTCAGGGTGACCCAGGTCCTCACCTGGGGATGCTGCACAGGTAGGACAGCAGCTTGGTGATCTCCGAGGCTGTGCACCATGGTGCTTTCCAGGCCTCCTCTGCAGTGTACACCAGAAGAAGAGGCCGCCCTGCCCTGTCCCGACCACCTGGAGGAGAGAGAATGCACATGAGCAAGTAGAACTCAGGTGGAACCCTGGCCTGTAGGAATCTCCTCTGTGGGTTCTAGGCCTTTACCCATCCAATCCCTCTGTCTAGAATCCCCTTACTTTCCTTCTGGGAACTCTGAACTCCTTCCTATTCATCCTTCAAAGACCTAGCTGAGAAGCCACTTCCTCAGAAAAGTCTTCTTTGAGTTGTTTCTCTACACAGAGGCAGCTCACTCTCCTTAGAACTCCCTCTGTAGAGGGCACCTTGGGAGGCAGAGCTTGTGGAATGAGTTCTGAGGTCGCATGGACAGGGCCCTGGCTCTGCCCTGTCTCTATGTGTGTCTTTGGGCAAGTTTGTGCCTCTCTGACCTCAGTCTCATTTGTTAGATGAGACAAAGAAAATACTGAGCTGCTCAGGTTTCTCTGAGGATGGAATGAGCAGTTCCTGAGAACGCTTAGTACACGGCAAGGGCTGGATGAATGAAGTCATGATAAACCAACATCATCTCTGTTCCCATCCCAGCCCACCGCCTGGTCTCTTACTCTTGCAGACTTTCAGCCTGGGTTCCCAACAGGCTGTGTTTTGTTCCCAGGACCTAGGCTGTGGGCCTCACTCTCTCCTCCAGAAGTGAGCACAGTGGCCGGCCCCGCAAACTGGTACACTTGTCTCTTTTGTCACCTGAGGCCCCACCAGAATGGCTCACCTGTCACACCTCAGTGTGCTCGACCCTCCCCACCTCGCACCCTCACTCATCCTGGTTGGCTTCCAAGTCCACCCTTCCCTACTTTCTCCATCTGGTGAAACCACTTCTGCTCCCAATGCCCACCAAGATGCGACCTCCTCCAGGAAAACACCCTACTCCCTACCCTCTATAGAAGCCTGTCCCCACCCCAGGCTCCCAGGCACACGTAAGCCTGTCTGAGACCCTGGGGAACTGAGAGCCCCTCCAGGGTGTTCTCAGTGGCCAACTGCTTGCTGCCTCCTGCACTCAGCACAAGGCCTGATCAGATCGAGATCCCTGCGATGGGCTGACCAGTGACGGAGGGTTAGAGCAATGCTTCTCAAATTCCACGTGCCCGGATCTTGTTGGAATGCAGACTCTGAGCAGCAGGCCTGATTCTGCATCTCCCCAGGCTCCAAGGTGACACCAAGGATCAGTACCTGGACCACACTTTGAATAGAATGAGGCCATTTTGTGGGTCTGGTTCCCCACCAGGCGCTTCCTGATCAGGGCTCTGCATACAGCCAGTATTGGCTGCTGTCCATCTGATGACCCCACTGCCCCAGATGTTGCCCTTGCCTAACTGTTGGTGCCAGAAACAGATCATCAGGGCCTCAGAAGCCTAACTCAAGACACTGACGTCCACATTGGGCTATGAATCAGGCATCTCAGGTAGAAATGGGGAGCACAGCTTCAGGGTTGAGGGGTGAATAGGGTATCACCTACAACCACTAAAAACTCAACTAATCTCCAACAAGGAAACAAGGAAAAAGACAACGTCCCCCAGGGGCTGCAAAGAGACAGGACAGTGCCCAGGGTCCTGCAGAGATGTATGAAGTAAAATAGAATTGCAGGATAGTTTCCAAAAAGCACTGGGCTCTCCTGTTCCCAGACCTTAGCATATGCTGTCCCCTCTGACTGGAACCCTGTTCTAATACCTGGCTAACTCATACTCTATGACTGCACTTTATTTACTCCACAAAGCCTTCCCAGACCTCTCCCTACCAGAAGCCTGGGCCAGGGACCCCAAATCTGCTCCCACAGCCCCTGCCCTTCCCTATTGTCAAAATACATTATGTTGCTGTGACCTATTGAATGTCCTCTACCACTAGACTATAGGTTTCGTGAAGGGAGAAAGCACATCAGACTTGTTCCCTAATAAATCCCCAGGGCTCAGTAAATATTTATTGAATAAAATTAAAAAGGAATAATAACACGTTCAGTATTGGATGCTGTTAGTGCTCTCGCCAAAAGCCACCCAGGCAGGGTGCTCATGCCCCAGAGGCTGGAAGTAATGGCAATAAATGGCTCACAGGTGCCTGCTCTCTGAAGAACTGCCCTTGGGTGGACTGGATCACTGGCTTGCCCTGCAGACGTGTCCCAGGCTGCTTTAGTTGATGGCTGACAGACCCAAGATCTGTCTGCAGTTAATGACTGACACCCCAGGATCAGTTTACAGTTGATGACAAACTCAGGATCAGTTTACAGTTGATGGCTGACACCCAGGCTCAGTCTGCAGATAATGACTGACACACCCAGGATCAGCTCACAGTGAATGACTGACCAATCCAGTTGTAAAAAACAAAGCCAGCCCCCTATACCTTAAGATGGAGCCAACTGGACAGTGTGATTCATGCTCCAGAGCTCCCCCTGGGATGAGACTACATCCTTGCTCATTCTTTCTGCTGCACTGTCCTGCTTCCCTCCTCTCCTGGGATCCCTCCTCCAATAAATCACATTCCCAAGGATCCATGTCCCAGCTCTACTTCTAGGAAGCCCAACAGCCACCTTGGCTCTCACTGAAATCTGATGGATGGATGGTTGGATGGATGGATGGACTGATGAACAGATGTACAGGTAGATGAACTGATGGATACCTAGAAACTGTTTTCATCTCATCCAAATCCTTCATGGCAAGATGAGGAAACTGAGGCCCAGAGAAGAAACTCTGGCCTTCTGGGCTTTTTTGGTGTCCTCCTCGCCCACCAGTACCTGAGGATGCTCTGGGATTTCCAGCTACCCCCATCCCCACTCCCACCGGCCCCTGCTAGAACCTGGCAAGCAGGCTATCCTGGAGTGGAAGACCTCAGCATTCATGGTCCTAATCCTGGGCTCAGGCCCTGGGGGCTCCTCCTCCAGGCCAGGGCCTCTTTCAGGGGGGCCTGCCGCAGCTTCTGGGAAGCCAGCCTTCTTCCCAGACAGTAGGTCTGAGTCAGCAACAGGGCCAGATGTTTTTGTCTGAGTTGTTCCATCTGGGACAAAGCAATAACAAAGAAAAGGATGTTAAGCAGAAGATGGATTTTCTGGGGGGAATCTAACAGTCATTGATTTCCTATGAGCCAGGCATTGTGTGGGCTCCTTACTTCCAGTATCTCTCTGAACCATCAAAGCATCTCTGTGAAGTAGGTGAGAACCCTGTGGTACAGATCTGAACGCTGAGATGTTAAGTACTTGGCCAGGGGTCACACAGCCTTTTTCAATTCCAGACCCGTGAAACTTCCAGGCCCTTAACATGCTACACTGTGTACTAAACCAATGAAACTGAGCCAGCCCAGGTGGATCCCTGTCCCTCACAGCCACAGCCACCTTGTACCTGACCTCATCCAGTTGCTATTGCTCAGTGGAACATGTGGGCATCCTACCTTTCTCTAGGGGCTTAGCTCGGTGTGGCTTGGGAGAGTACAGTGAACACAGAACTTTCCAAGGCCTGTCATGCTGGAGTGAAGCTCTGTCCTGGGGCACAGGGGATCGCCTCTGCCCCTTCAAGAAGGAGAATTTGAGACCAGCAGTGTGGGACCCAGAGGAGGAAGAAGAGGAGGTGTTCTGACTAGCATGGGCCATGGGCTTGGGAAGTCTTCTGTCTCCCTGCTTGGTCTTCTCCACCTTGATTTCAGAGGCTGGACCTAAAGGAAAAGCTGGGGACAGGCGGGGAGAAGATGCTTGTCTTGGTCCAGGCCTGAGCTGGACCACAGTCTCTGGGTTTCCCAGAGGTCCTTGCATCTTGGAGGTAGCTGGCTCTTCTGAGACACCTGCCCAGAGGCCAGAGGCATAGTCCAGTGGCTCCTTAGGAACACTAATGTAGGGCTGTCGCTCTGAGTTGTGGGAAAGCCCTTTATGCTTGACTTTTCTCTCCAATCCCAAAATACAGGGCTCCTCCTCTGAGTTTGCTGGCTTTGCACAATCCCAGTTTTGCAAGGAAGACCCCCCATCAGGATCTGAGAGAGCCAATGTCCTTTGAGACAGAGGAATCTCCCTAGTCCCACATAGTTCCTTTAGTGCCCCCAAAGTACACCCACTGGATGCCTCTACTCCCTCCCTGGGAGACTTTCCTCTATTTTCTTGGGAAAAGTCCAGGAGAGCCACATAGTCTCCCTCTAAGGCCTGGCTGAGCCCACTGTCCATCTTGAAGGCCACCTCCCCAGGCTTGGCTTGCTCCACCTTGATGAGTCCCGGATACTTGCTCCTAGGTGTCCTACCCTTATCCTTGACTGAATTCTGGGCCAGAAGCACCTGGCTGCCTGAGGAGCTGGCCGGGTGCAGCTCCTGGGAGCTGCTCAGATCAAGTGCCTCCAGTGGAAGGGAGTCCCAGGCAGGTGAAGGGACCATCATTGCCTGGGACCGACCATCCACAAACTCTGGGCTGGTGATCTTGGCCCAAGGCACAGGGGCAATCCCATTCTTTGAAGCCACCAGGCAGTTGTGCAAGGGTCTTCCCTCAAAGTCACTGTTGATGGCCTCCAGCCACTCTTGAGTGAAAAGCAGAGGGTGGGATGACTCGGGAACAGCCTTCTTGTCCACTGTACGGAGGTCCAAGGAGAGGCATTTGATCATCATGCTGACAGATTGCTCCTCCCGGGGCTCCACTTGGAGGTAGAAGTCACCCTGGCGCAGTAAGAGGGGATTGAGTGGAGCCAAGTGGACCACAACCTCATCCTGCAGGCAGAGTGGCCAGCCCTCATGCATGAAGAGGCGGTGGGTGTAGGGAGCCTGCAGAGGGAAGGGACACATCAGGATCTCGCCCGCAGATCTGCTTCCTTCCCTCTCCCACATGGAATCCTGGACACAGTGAGGACTGTGGGAGGCAAGAGAGGTGCCCAGGATGTGGCACTGAGGAGGGCCTCACTCTCAGGGCTGGGCAAGGGCTGCCTCTCTTTCCTCACCCTAGTCTTGGCCCTGACCTTGAAAACAGCCTACTGACCCAAGGGAGGACACTCTGAGAGCAGGTGCTATTTAGCAAGTGCCTGTCCCATGATGATCTTCTCGCTCTACTCATGCCTCCTCCTCTTGGCCCCGAAACTTCTCCCAACCCAGTTCAGGCCATGGCCCTCCACTGTAAGCCAGGGATGCACCGGGTTGAAGGTCTAAATAACTACTCTGTGGCCATTACTTAGCTGCTTGGAGTCTTTGTTTCTCTATCTGCAAATAGGAATAATAAATATGTCAGTACTGGTGGGTTAGTATGAGGATTAGGTGATATGAAAACCAGTACAACGCCTGGCATATAATAGGTAAATGTTCAATAAATATTAATTCCTTCTCCTTTTAACAACACTTGTCCTTTAAAAAATTGTGGGAATTTTCAGTTAAAATACAAAAAGTCATTTGCTGCTTTTATTTCCTCCTCTAGTTTTAAGTAGAGCAGGTATAGCAATACCTGAAATAGGAACCATACTGAATGAGAAGCCAGATCTGGCCCTGCCACTATACCAGGTCACTTTGAAAAAGCCACTTCACTTTTTCATTCCAGGATTGAATGTTAATCATTTATTTATTTGTTATTTATTTAATTTCCTATTAGTGGGTAAGAACATGGCAGAAGAGGCAAAACATATATATATATATATATATATATATATATATACACATATATATCAGACAAAGGAGCAAGAAATTCTCAAATACACAGACACAGCAAGTTGCCCTGGGGCAGGCCAGACCTGAGTGACCCCTGTCCATGGGGCTGCATGGAACAGTGTTAAGCAGTGACAAGAAACTGTACCCAACTATTCCTGTCTGGCTTTTGGCTTCAGTAAGTCCCAGTTTTACACAACTTGGATGCATGTGTAGAAGACCCTCAGAAAGTGACTAAGGGAACAGGTGTTTCCTGACATTATTAATTGAAGAAAGAGTGAGATCTGACCGTGTTTGTCCCCAAGGTGATAAACCAGCTCCTAGCAGCAGCTCTGCAGATCTGGCTGCCCCCAGAACCTTCGTGTCCATGATCTTTCCTGAGTGGGAGTGATGCCTCCCCTTTCATAACAGCCCCCGTGTTTTACAGCATGCCTTCCCCACCTTCTCATAGAATGAGACTAAACAGACCAGCCTGGATTTTGCAACCAACAAAGCACCAAGGAGGTGACAGCTGTGCTTGTCCTGTTTGACTTGTACTAACTCAGGCTGCTCAAGCATTATTATTCTCATTTCCACATGTGGCCGCTGAGGCTCACAGAGGGGAAATAGTTGATTCCGAGTCAGCTGAGAAATAGCAAAAGCAGGACTGTGCCTACTTCTTCTCATGGGAGTGTGATATGTCTGTCCCCAAACCTGGTAGGCTGCATCTGAAGGTGGGTGTCTCTGGGTGATGGAGTCAGAGAGCAGATCTTGAGCTGGCACTCTAATTTCCAATGGGCAAATGAGGAAGCTGGAGAAAACCAGTGACAGCTACCTGCACTTGCTGCTGCCAGGCTCCGGGCCAGCTGTGGTGTCATCTGCATGTTAGCCTATCTTTTATTAAAATTCACACAAGGAAACTGAAGCTCAGCGAGGTGACATGGATCCCCCAGGTTCATGGTGATGAAGCCTGGATTTGAAAGTGGGCACCTAACACCCAAGCCCCTCTTGTGAGTCCCACACTGCACCTTCCTGCTGAAGTGACATGAATTTGCCTGTAATTACAGCCAAATTGGATTTGCCTATAATTAAAAATGAAAGTACAGGAAGGCTGTGACCATGTCACTAAGAGAATTGAGGGAGGGAGCACAGCAAATGTGATTTTAATGGCCCAGTACAGGAAATGGTGGTTGTGTGGCTTGTCCAGGAGAGGAAATGGGGATAGAGAGGCTTTGCATGAAATAATTCCAGCCCAGAGGTGGCTGCACATGGTTCCATGAAAAGTTCCTGTTGGAGAAGCCTATAGTACCAATTCCTGTGCACTGAAAATCCCTAGGTGCCAGGTTCTGTGCTGTGCAGATTGAACAGATGATCTCTCTTCCACCTGCTCCTGGCCATCTCCATCCTGGTTCCTGAACAACATACACAGTCCCCACCCTTACTTTGCTCCTCATCAGCTATGTCCCAGACAGGCAGGGAGCAATCCAGGAAAGGCCTAAGAAACTCTGTGGGGGTCTTGAGATAGAGTGGCAGAGGGTGGGTATTAAACAATAGCAGTACAGGGAACAGTTGGCAAACCTGTGAGGAGTGTGTGCAACACCTGTCCTGGGCTTCTGAGGGTTTGATCCCCTCAGAGATGTCCCCACCTTTTTCGGAAGTCTCATCCCCTCACCACAGAGGCAGACAGGCACATGACTCAAGTCTGGCCAATGCTACTGCTCCGTTCCTCTGGCCATAGTGTTTGGTCTAGAAATGGACATGTGATTCAAGCCTGGCCAATCAAGATCTTTCCTTGAGGTGTTTTTTATTTGTTTGTTTGTTTGTCTGTCTTGGTGGCACTGAAGATTAACAATGAGTTTCATCTATAGCCCATTTTTAAAAATTTTTTAAATTGTGAGATAGGGTCTTGCTAAATCACTAAGTTGCCCAGGCTGGACTTATTTATGATCCTCCTGCCTTAGACTCCCAGAGTTCTGGGATTACAGGCATATGCCACCATGCCTGGCTCCTTGAGATTTCTCTATCTGCAGCTGCTGGGGAAGAGTTTTCCTTTCCAGGGCAGGAAGTAATCTTAGAGCTTCCATGGGTTCAGATTTGGAGCACCCAGCCTGGAAGAATGATGCTGGCAAGCAGGGAGAAGGGATCTTCAGTTGTTTGACAGGTGAATCAACTCAGGTCTGGTCTAAGGGAGGATTCTGTCATTTCTGGCCAGCAAGTTTTGCCTAAAATATTTTTCTCTCCTCTTTGCCCCAGAAGAAGCCTCCTTGACATTTGAGTTTGAAGGGATCTCCAGGGACAAAAGCAAGAGTCCTGATGCCTGAGGGCTCCAGAGAAACTCTGGCATATTCTCTGCTATTTCTGTGGATGCTGCTCCATTTGGGCCAAGGCAGCCTGGTGATGACCACATCCCAGCCCCAAGAAGGCTCCTCAGTTCCAGGGAGACCCCAAGGATGCCTATCTGTAGGCCTCCCTTCCTGCTGGTGCAAGAACAGATGCCATTGACCCCAAGATATCAGAGGGTAAAAGGCCAGGTGACCCTTCTGCTTCATTTGGGAATCACTTGGAAAACCACCCCACATCTTCAGTTTTGCCTGTGAGACATGACACACAGCAGCCCACCTCCTTCCCTGCTCCCCTCCAGCCTGGCGAGCTTCTGGGCGAGCTTGGCCCCTGGCTCTGCATCCCCTCCAACTTACACAGGCAGCTTCACGCACTTGCTCACACAGGCGCTTGGCAGGGATCAGGAAATCCAGGAGGAAGCTCAGCCCGTCCCCCTGGAAGTCAGAGTCCAGCAGCCGGAACACCTGACTCAGGACAATGGGTGCCGTGGACTCAAAAGGAGGGTAGAGGCTTGCCAGGGCGTGCTGGATGGCTGCATCCAGCGATGGAGGGTCCTGTGGGGAACAAGAGGAGAGGAATGAAAGTAATAGCAACAGTGATAAAAAGGCTAGTGGTGGGCCAGGGATTTAGCTCAGTGGTGCCACCACCTGCCTTGAAATCGGGAGGTCCTGAGTTTGATTCCCGGTACCAAAAAAAAAAAAGGCTAGTGGTCATTACCTGTGGCCTTCCAGGCCCCACATCAATAAAGCCCCTGCTAAGTCTCTAACCTTCTCTTCTACCACCTCCCATCACTTGCCCCTCCAGCCACAATGGCCTCCTTTCCTATTCCTCAAATATACCAGGTACAATCCCAGCTCAGGGCCTTGGCACAGGCTGTTGGTTTTAGTTAAATGCCGTTCCTCAAGACACCCTCATGCCTCACCTGCTGCAAATGCCATCTGTTAGTCTGATGAGGAATAGAGGAACAGGAGGAGCCATAAGGGTCAGCATCCAAGGGAAAGAAGTCAGTCCCCCAAATCCCATCATCTGGCTGACCTACAGCTTAAAGGTGGCCAGAACAGATCAGGCCCCCCTGGTCCACATGCAGATGTACCAGTGGTGCTAAGTGATTGTTTCATACCACTGAGTTTGGAGTGGTTTGTTACACAGCAATAACTGACAGATCCAAGCCAGAGCTCCAGATGCATATACCCAGCTGCCTCCTGAACGGCTTCCCCTAGCTGTCACTCAGGCACAGACCATGAACACATCATACCCAACTCAGCAACTTCTCAAACCTGCTCCTCGAATCCCTCCCCAATGATGGCCCCATCCTGGCAGACTCTAAGGCTCTGCCTCCTTCAGCTGCTTCTCGACTCACCAACAGCCTTCAGCCATGCCCCATGCAGTTTCCCTTCCTCCAAGAGCTCACTCAATACTCAGTACTCTCCATCCTCCGGCCCTGCCCAGGCTGGGTCTCCACCATCTCTTCCAGGAAATTGTCTCTTCCTTGGTCACCAGCCCCTCATCTTCTTCACTCCAGCCATCCTCCACAAGGACGCCAGAGTGACCTTTCTCCAAAATAAACCCGACCTCGTCAGAGCCCTGCTCAACACCCCTCAAGCTTCCTGTTGCCTCCAGGAAGCATCCAGCTCCCAAGCGTCCGGCTTCCTAGGGTCTGGCCACTGTGCTCAGCCCTGTCTCACAGCCCCTCTCCAAGCTTTGGCCACAGTGGCACCAGTGTCCCCTCATTCACCTCCAGGCCTTTGCACATTCCTTCCTCCTGAGTGCCTTCCTCTTTCCCTGCCTTCTCACCTGCCCAGCTCCTTGTTCGCTAGGGCTCAGGTCATTCCTCAATTCCTCCAGGTCTTCTCTGACCTCAAACCTCCCTCCACATGGCTCAGGGCTCAGGCGTTCCCTTTCCTGAGCTCTTCTCTTCCAGTGCCCCTATGCTAGCAGCTCCCACTCTGATGGCTGCTCCCCAAGGGCAGGTGCGCCAGGCAGAAGAGCCCTGAAGATGCCTACATTCTAATTTCTGGAACCTGTGGCTGTATTACCTTGCAGACAATGGCAGACTGAGGTTGCAGTTAGAATTAAGATTGCTAATCAGCAGGCAACACAACAGAGAGATTCTCCTGGACTCTACAAGTGGCCTGTTGTACTCCCAAAAGTCCCCAAAAGCAGGAGAGTGAGAGGGAATGTGACTATGGAAAGCAGGATTACACAGATGCCGTGTGCTGGTTCTGAACATGGAAGAACAGCCAAGGAATGTGGGCAGCTCCTAAAAGCTGGAAAAGGCAAGTAAATGGATTCCCCACTAAGAGCCTTCAGAAAAGAATGCAGGCCGGCTCTCACCAGAATCTTAGCCCCACAAGACCCATGTCAGCCTCTGGATCTGGAGAACTGCAAGATAATAAAGCTGTGTTGCCACAGGCTTGTACGTGTGTGATCACTGTCACAGCAGCAATAGGAAAATACAGCGCACACTGGCTCCTCTTACCCCATGAGTCCCTATACCTGCCCAGGGGCTGGCACAAAGCAAGTGCTCAGTACATTGTGGAGCAGGATGAACCTAGTGTCCTTCCTTGAGCCACATTTTCCATCTATAAAATAGGCAAGCTGGACAAGGCCAGAAGTTTGCAATAGCTGCAGCAATGAGATCCAAGGATTCTGACTTTCAACTCTTAAAGAAACTAAAGGAAGCCAGGCTGAGAGCCCTCTGGCTGAGGGGCTTAGAGGGTGAAAATGAAGAGAGACCCCTCCCCAAGAGGCAGAGCTTACTAGGTGGGAAGGGTCACCTTTCTGAATGAGGCTTTGAAAGACAGACAGAAAAATAGAACAGGGACCTTGAGTAGGAAGATGTGGTTCAATACAGCAAGACTGTCTGGAGGGCACACTGCAGAGGCCCAAGTCCCTCTCTACCTGTGGCCCATGCAAGGCCAGGCCCTCCCTCACAATTGGCAGGTGAATGACTGAAGGAAGGAATGAATGTCTACAGCCCCGTTCTGAGGAAAGAGGGTCCTGGCCATGGTGTGGCAATGGGCAGACAGGTGACCTGCTGACAGGGACTTGATGTCCACAGTGCACGTTCCCAGAAGGGGCTTCAGTGTGGCAGGACAGGGAAAGGCTCATCCAGCCTGGTGGCCTCTTCCCGTGCCCCCAGCCCTCACCATGCAAGGTAAGAGCCCAACATTGCCCACCCCTGCAACCCTGGATCAGCGGTGGGGCAAGAGACAGAGGACTGCATCTGTCCTCTGTGAGCACGTGAGCACACCAAGTCCACCAGACCCGGGCCTCTCCCCTGCCACCCACCTCCTCTACTCCATCCTGCCTCTGCTGGACCTTGGCACACCTGACTTCCATCACACTGTGCAGCCTTGAGTAGACCCTTCCCTCTCTGGGCCTCTTTGCTCCATGCAGATTAAACTAGGCTGAGTTGGTTTTGTTTTTCGAAGTTCATCATTCGCTGTCACATTCATGATATTCTTTGCTTCTAATGCCTTTGGTGCTATTACCTTGTTTTGCTTCAGATCCACTTTTTTTTTTTAATGCACAGACAAAACCCAGCCAGACTGCTAGGGTTCATACACTGCTTCTGTCTCCTACTGATGGTTTGATCTGGACAGTTACTGAACTCTCTACGCCTCAATTTCCTCAGCTGTATAACAGAGATTGTAATGGTACCTGACTTAAATAACTGATAGAGATTCAATGAGATTATACATGTAAATTCTCTGCATAGGACTAGCGTTTAGTAGGTGCTCATTAAGTACCAGCCATCATTGCTATTTTTGTGGTCCTATAGTAGTTAGTATCACATCACCACTATAAATGGAAAAATCTGTGTCAACTGGTACAGACAGAATGCAAATACATTAGTGCACTGGGTGGATTTTATATTATTTATACAAATAAATATTTATACTTATTATACATATTTATAACTATATATCAAGTCATTCATTTCTGGTCTGTGATATATCTGATGACCTAACTACAAGCTGCATCCAACCTCTAGAAGACAGTGACATGCATTCTCTCTGCCTCAGTATGCCTCAGTTTCCCCATCTGTAAGTGGAATTCTACTCTCCATCATAGGACATCAGCTTATTGTCCTGGACATTCAAGGATATACTGAGGGCACACAGAGGGTCTCGGGAAAAGCAAAAGGCATTGCAGCTGCTGTTCTCGTTGTCATCTATTTTTACCCATCCTGCCAGAAGCTCTGGTCTCACCCTGAGTGAAGACAGGTACCTTCCTTAATCTGCTATCATCACCCCAGTAATAACAGCAGTTCCCCAGGCATCTGCTATTCATCAGGCCTGCAACTTGTGTTCTCTTGCTCAGCCCATACTATGAGGCAAGGAGACCAATTTTACAGGTAAAGAAAGGGAGGCTGACCTTGCTCAAGGTCACAGAGAGAAGGTGAGAGACAGCAACTAGGCTCCAACCCAGACCTGGGTCTGCTGAATCAGTGGCCTTCTCCTGCCTCCTGCTGCCTGCTCTGCTGGGGAGTCACCAGCTACAGGGGTGGCCTGCGCAGCTGACTGTGCCTCCCACGTTCCAGTGGGCCCTAAAGAAACTGTTTACCTCTGGAAGAACAAGCCTCTCTGAGTAAGACGCCCTTGGCCTTCACAAATTGGCTCAAGTCTTCATGCACTGTAACCATTTACAGGCAGCCAGTAAAATGCAAGACTGCTCCAAGTTAACAGAACTCTGTGCTCTCCGCCAGTGCATTACCTGCTACAGGCATGAACCCCAGGGGCTCCTAAGCGTCCAAATACTGGGGGGAAGCTCACGATGAAGGGGGCCTAGGCGGCTGCAGAAAGGAACACTGGCCACTCGCCATCCCAAATCAACCTGGCAGCCCAGCCTTCGACCACAGGAACCTGATCGCCGCTGGCCAGACATGAGCCCCTCAAAGTGATTTCCGTGCAACTTAATAGACATGTTTCCATTCCTTCCCAGTGAGGCAGCCTGGCAGGCCTTTAACTGTTCCTCGGCAGAAACTGAGTAGGCTGTGAAGCTGAAAAGGAGAAGGTGAGGCCAGCCAGAGTCAGTGCCACCTTCCAGCCCCCTGCTCTGCAACCTGGGACCGGAGGAGCAGGCTGCTGTGTGGACACGGACCCACAGAACCAGTCCATCTCTGGGCCCTACATGATGCTCAGGATCTTCCAGGCTGACACGGTGCCAAAGGACACAGAGACTAGCTACTCACAGGAGTGATGTCTGGGCAGGAAGCAGCTGTGTCCATAGACTTCTATTTTAGTGTCTTTGCAATGAGCTGCTATTTATTGTCATCCTAAGTACTATTTTAATCAAGCAAAATGAACAAATACAAAATGTACAGGCTGATACATTTTCACCTATATGCAGACCCTTGTACCATGACCCAGATCAATATACAAAAGAATTCCACCACCCCAGCCCTTCCTCCTGACTCCCCACAGGACAGAATACTTCTTTATTATAGTTTTTTTAAACAAAGAATTTCCATACAGTATGATCTACAGAATGCGTATGAGCCCAGACACAGTCCAAATGGGTATTAAATAAAGTGTTAACTGCAGTTACCCCAAGGGCTGTGAGTGGCAGGGGCCTCATAAGGCAGCGTTTTAATTTTCTTCATAGTTCGCTGGATTTTCCAAATGTTCTGTAACCAGCTCATATAGCTTTTATAATTGGGAGAAAAAACTAAAAGTGTGATTTTGTGTATTTTTAAGACTGGGACCTTTTTAAATGGTCTCACCAGATGTTGTTAGCTGGGCCTTCTGTGATGTGGGCTGAACGTTTCTTAAAGATCCAGATTTATCCACTTACTCCAACACACAAAAATTTTAGTTTCACTTAGCATCAGCCGCCTCCTTGCTGGGAGAGAGAGAGAGAAGGTTGAGAAAAGCTGAGCTAGGAAGTATTACCTTTGACGCCCGATTTCCTCTGTGGCCGAAATGTGCAGGGAAAGTGAAAGTCTGCCCCTGACTCGCCAGGTGACCCTAGCCTCAGTTTCCCCACTTGTAAAAGGGAGGCATTGGGTAGATCTGTCTCCTTCCAATGGGAGCATTCTAGATCAAAGGACAGGCAGGTTCACAAAGGTTTGGAGCTGCAGTGTGCGTTCTAAATGGAATCAGCTGACCTCAGTTGACATTGCTCAACCTCAGTTGGTGAGAAAGTTTCAAAAGGTCTCATCCATCTCCCTGCCTCGGGAGAGTCTACACCAGCAGCCATAGGTACAAACGCCTTCAGGGGCCTGGCAGGGAACAGGGAAGACAGAGGCAGGCTCAGTGTGCGACAGACACCCCTCCAGCCCCTTGGTGAGGGCTCCTGATCAGCGTGGCATGAGGGGGATGTGAAGTGCACGTTCCACTTCCCCAGCATCAGCTGACTGCGGCTTCGGCCCAGCACTACCAGGTCTAGTGATTTTTAAGTAAAACCTCTCAAGGTTGGCCAAAAAAAATACATCTGTGAGCCAGATGCAGCCCAGCAGGTGTGAGGTCATGACCTCCAATCCGGCCTCAACTACCTGGGCCATTCCTCTTGAACTTGTCTAGGCTGAGATTCTAAAATCAGCCTCTGGCTGCCAGAAAGTTCTTGCTCATATCCAATTAAAACTTCTGCTGTTTTAAATCCCTTTTAGTATTTGTGTGTGGGTGGAGGTATGAGCAAGAATTGGCTCTTTATTAAAAAAACAACAACAACAACAACTTTGAAAACTGGAAAAACAGCCCAGATGCAGTAAACCAAGAAGTGGGTAGGCATCAGAAGATGCATGCTCAAGTCTGGCTCTGTCACAGCACATCATGTGTGTGACCTCGAGCAAGTCACTGCCGCTCTCAACCTTAGCCTTAGGCTTGTTTCTCTCTCTCCCTCTTCCCTTTGCCTCTACCCTCAGACTCACTATCTCCCAAGCAGCCGCATCATGGTAAGGTTATAACTAGAACTACATCTTCCCAAGCAAGTCTTTGGGGTCTGGCCCATACTGAGCACTTTCCATGCACTATTTTATTTTATTGTCCCAATGATTCTATGGGACGGGCTTGTTCTCATATTACAGCTTATGAAACTGAGACCAAGGCTCAGTTAGTAAGTGATAAAGTTGGGATATGGATCTGAGAACCAGCCTAGGAACCCCTTTGCCCATCACAATGGCCTTTCCTACGTAGAGTCCAGTCGTGACCCTCCACTGCTCAACAGTGTCAGGTGGCTCCCTATTGCCTACCAATTCGCTGGTGGCCTGTTAGCTCTCAGCTCACCTTTCTTGCTTCTTTGAACTGTATATTATGCTCTAGCCCAGGGCTTCCCAATCTTCTGTGTGCCCCAGACACAAGGTTTTCTTGCCATGTTCACATACCCTGCTTTGTTATTTGTTTAATATTTATGAGTTCTCATTTACTTAATTTTTGTCTATTTGTTTTCAACTTAAATTTATTCATTATTTGTCATAATTTGTGCTGTTTTAATTACTTCCTAATACTCATTATGATGAAAAGCTATACAATTTTTAAAAAATGCTCATCTAAGTGCATCTGAAGTCTGCTAATCCCCAGAACCCATGACTGGGGCTCCACCTAAGAAAGCACTCACTTCCTGATCACACACCGCTTTCTACTTGTACTGTACCTCTCCCGGGACTGAGAAAGCTCCTATTCACCCTCCACAGCCCTGCTGGACCTGCATCTCTTCTCTTTAGCTTTTCATGACACATGTGCTTGTGGGCAGAGGGACAGCTTTCCACCATCCATCACATGGCCCAGAACTCTCAGCAAACAAGCTCCTGTTCCATAGACCATGAGCCCTCAGGGGCCTGGCACACACTAGAGGCTTGGAGGGGAAACACCATGTGGCTAGTTCTTTGGCAATGCTGAATGAACTAAACTGGATGCATTTTTTTGGAAGTATACGATGTGTCATTGGAGGAGGCCCACATAACAGTTTTGGGTGGACATGGACTTCATACGAAATCACACAAGAAAGTTATTCAGTTGTCTCCCAGTCCTCCTGATGACACCAAGGAGAAACTCAGACCGGGACCACCGTATCTTGAAGACAGCTCAGGCACCTCAATCACCACTACTCCTTTCCACAGATGAAGAGTCCTGAGTTGGAATGGCCCAAAGTCAACCCCATCCAGCCAGGGTTACCGACAGGGTTACGGATCTGCCTTCATTGTGCATATTAATAGTTACTTTCTATTTATAAAACTTCCTACTCAGATATATTTTAAGTTTATAAAATAAGTTGATTTAAAGAAAATATTGGCCAAGTAGATTTCATTATTTCCTTATTTTATCCAATGAGTGTATATTTAAAAGATGTTCCAATGACACTGAAATTGGGGAAATGTGAGAATGGATGAGTCTGAAGCCCCTTTGCTGTAAGATTCTCTCACACTGAGCTGGCCCCAAACATTAGACATCTATTATTCAAATAATTTCACAAAAATTAAACTATGATGGGTGCCACGAGGGAGAGATACATGACATTAGAAGGAAATATCATTAGATGGGCAATCATGAAAGGCTTTACTGAGGAGGTGATGTTTGGGTGGAGAGTTCTAGGGTAAACAGAAATTCCTTAGATAAAGGTGTTCCTTCCAGCAGGAATGGCATGTGTAAAGGTCCTGGAGTAGGAGAGAGAGCATGGACCACAAGAGGTTCTGAATCAAGGCCAGACTAGCTGGAGCACAGAGGTGAGGTCAGAGAAGTGGGCTTCAATATTTAAAATCAGAGTAGGGAGGAAAATCTGCCCACCATACCTGCTCAGGAAAGACTTGCTCAACCTTTGACTAGCCATTCCAATGTTTGAGCCTTGATCTAAAGGTCTGGATTTGGTAAGTAGTTTCTAGTTTCTAATAACTGGATTAGGTTCAAGACCAGAAGAGATTTGGTGAACACCTGGTGCAGGCTGTGGCTCAGAGGTGCCTGTCCTAACTTGCACTTCCTGATGAGGTAACTTTGAACCGTCACTTGTACCCTGAGAATGTCAGGTCCCCATCTGTGGGGTGCAGATACCAGCAAGATTACACTTAATGCTGTTGTAAGTGACATGAGCTCCTGTGTTTAAAGCACCTAGCACAGGGGCTTCCTGCAGGGAGAGGTGAGCATTACTAGTTTAGAATGCATTTTCAAGTACCTCTGAGAATAGTGAGTGTGTCTGGGTGTCCGGCTGGTGTATGGATGTAGATGCCTGGTTTTGCAATATGTCTGTGGGGTGTGTGTGTGTGTGTGTGTGTGTGTGTGTGTGTGTGTGAGGATGTATGACCATATTCTGGCAGTGTGGGACAGGAGGTGGACAAGGTTGTTGGGTTGTTTGTGTGAAAGGGCCTGTGTACTCAGGCGTGTGTCAGTGGGACTGTGCTTTGGAGTGTGCAGGGGTATCTATAAACACATCCCTGTATAGAATTGTTATGTGTGGATGTGCACATGACTGACATACACAGATCCACCATCTTGGATCACAGTCAGGGGGTTAAAGTTCTGGCCTGTCTTCACAGCCCTTTTCCAAATCCCCTGTGATTTGGAAAATTGCTGCTGCGAATCCACCCTGGGCTCCTGGGCCTGTCTGCATCCGGGCTGGGATTCTCTGAAAACAGACTTTTCTTTGATTCCTTGTTCTCAGATACTGGCACAAGTGCACACAGACACAACTCCCCCGAGCGTCCCCACCTTCTCAGGTCCCCACCTTCTCAGAGTTCCTGTCGTCGGGGAAAGCCCAGGTATGGAGGTATTGTCCTCCCTCTGCCCCCTTCCCAGGCTACTTCTCCACGCACTTCCCATGGAAGTGCCCCACATCGGGAGGAGAAACACATCTGACATTCCAGACCCAAGTGTAACATAGCAAAACCAGCCCAGGTTTTCTTCAGCAATTCTCTCCTCTCTTTTCAGCACCCTGCACCCTCCCTGCTCTGCACTGCTAGCTGCCCTGGGAGGTGACTTTGACCTCTTTCCCCATCCAAATTCCACTTTGGGATAATACTGTCAGCCCCAAATCTAAAATGCAAAACTGCTCCAAGTTTTGTCCATGGCTCAAGAGCAAGGATTCCAGCCCAGCTCTGTGCTATGGGTTGAGGCAGCTTGAAAGTTTACAAGCCATCCCATCTTATTCCATCCTCTTTGAGCATGCAGAGGCCAGAGAAGACATGGCTAGTGGTGGGTTCCTGCACCCCCTCTTACCCTTCCCCTACTGGGGGTGGGCCCAGTTAAGCAGCGACCCCTGGCCAGGTACTGAGGGTGGAGGTACTGAGGACCAGCTCAGCATGAAAGGTGGGGCTCTACCCAGCCTCATAGAGGGTTTGGGAGAGTTGTGCCCAGCTGAAAGGGGACAGAGCTCGGCGGTCCAGGTCCCTGCAGACGTTACCATGGTGACGGGGTGCCGCGCCGCAGCTCCTCTCCCAGGTGTGGGTCTGTGCGTCTGCAGGTCCAACTGTCCGGTGTAGCCCCCGGCTCTGCCTAGCCCTGGAGTGAGCGGGAAGGGCGGGCCTGGGACGACGACCCCGATCTCATCTCCGAAGGGCGGCCCGGGAGTCCCGGAGACAGACAGAGCAAGCAAGCCCAGGACACGAGCAGAAGAGCGAGACGGCTGGGAGCTAGCGGGAAGGCGGGGG